GTGCTGTCCCTGTATGCCTCTGGCCGTACCACTGGCATTGTGATGGACTCCGGTGATGGGGTCACCCACACAGTGCCCATCTACGAGGGGTATGCCCTTCCCCACGCCATCCTGYGTCTGGACCTGGCTGGCYGGGACCTGACAGACTACCTCATGAAGATCCTGACTGAGCGTGGCTACAGCTTCACCACCACAGCCGAGCGGGAAATCGTGCGTGACATCAAGGAGAAGCTGTGCTACGTTGCCCTGGACTTCGAGCAGGAGATGGCCACTGCAGCCTCTAGCTCCTCCCTGGAGAAGAGCTACGAGCTGCCTGATGGTCAGGTGATCACCATTGGCAATGAGCGATTCCGCTGCCCTGAGGCACTCTTCCAGCCTTCTTTCCTGGGTGAGTTGACAGTCCACTCTATGATCCCCTCCCTACACGAGGGTCACACTTGGGGCACACTGGAAGTCTGATGTCATTTCCCTTTAGGCATGGAATCCTGTGGCATCCATGAAACTACTTTCAATTCCATCATGAAGTGTGACGTTGACATTCGCAAGGACCTCTATGCCAACACAGTGCTGTCTGGTGGCACCACCATGTACCCAGGCATTGCTGACAGGATGCAGAAGGAGATTACAGCCCTGGCACCCAGCACAATGAAGATCAAGGTGAGTGTCTGCCCAGCCTGAGCTGGTCTGGTCCTGTCACGTTAGACTCCAGGAGGTAGGAGTGCTGTGACATCCAGGATTCTCAATGACTGTCCTTCCCTCTGCAGATCATCGCTCCCCCTGAGCGCAAGTACTCTGTGTGGATTGGCGGCTCCATCCTGGCCTCTCTGTCCACCTTCCAGCAGATGTGGATCAGCAAGCAGGAGTACGACGAATCTGGCCCCTCCATTGTCCACCGTAAATGCTTCTAGGCGGACTGTTACTTAGCTGCGTTACACCCTTTCTTGACAAAACCTAACTTTGCGCAGAAAAAGAGATGAGATTGGCATGGCTTTATTTGTTTTT